GGGGGAAGGAGGATAGGGAGAAGGGCGCGCGGAATTTCTAGTGATCTCTAGTCAGGACACATCGTTTTTTGAGTCCATTCGAGAGAATGTCGATCGTATCGGACGTTATATAGGCACGTCCGCGCGCGAGCAAATCTTTAAATAATTGCTATATAAAAAAAAATATATATATACACATATATAGTTTAGGTATCCTTACGAAAGTGCAAAGGAACTGCTAATATATTGTGCGGCGGTCGGTGTGGAAAGGAGTGCGTCTTGCATGACGACGGTCGGTGCTTTATCGAGACGGAACGTGAAGACGACGCGGATGCGCGACATATAATATATTGATACTCATATAATACGGTCCATTACGCACGTCCCCTCCTTTTTTGTACGGTGCTTGATAAAAGAAAAAAAAGACGTCCGCAATTTTATTGTTTGCTGCATATACATACCCTCCTCACACGCGGCACGTCCGATCGACGAGATGTCGGATATTACGATCGTTACGATGGCGTTTCACTTGCGTTTCTCGGATTTGGATTTGCTTTCGACCGCCGTAGTTAACTCTGAGGACGATCCGACTGCATCCCGTACTCGAGGCTAAAAAGTGTAGAATTTTTTAACTGTACTTACGACTATATAACATCTAACCTGTATATTTTTACATATTGAATATAGGGAAGTGAAATTGAGAGTTGACGGGAGGAGGCGCGGGTGAGAGTCGAGTATATATATAAAGAAGAAGAAGAAGTACGCGATTAGCATAGAGATGAGTATATACATACATGTACACACACAAATACACACACCATAAACTTAATATAAACTTGATAAGAATACACATATACTTAATAACTCATACACACGCACACATATACATATACGCATACTTGGGCGCAACACGATAAGTATCGTTGAGCCTTGAGGGAGAAAAGATATTATACAGGTCGTAAGGGATGAGATCAGTTTTATTGTTGATTTCGGCGTGGCATACAATAAAATTTTGTAATCGGCGGCCCCGAGTCTCGCGCTTTCGCGCTTGGGGCCCGAGAACGTTGCGTAGTATAATCAAACCCCGACATAACAATGCGAGTTTTTCCTCGATCAGATTCGGGGCGACTCTCGGGGCGGTCGGGATCGCCGGAAGCACGACAAGCATGTGTACGCATGCCAGTGATCGAAGATCGATCGCGGGAGAACGAGGGAGAGATTGCCTTTCGGCGATCCTGAGAAACGCGCCACGATACTCGCCGCAGTAAGTCGGAAGAAGATATCTGTACATAGGAAAACTACAACATAGCACAGGATGTACGTACGTACATGCCAGTGCACACGTAATGTCCTATATAGCGGAAGTACTAACTATGATAGTGTATGAAAATAATAAGACGTTCGCAGAGCAGGCCAGGCGCTTGGTGGTGGAGATGCATCGCCCCTTTTCCCCTTCACGTCGAATCTCGCCCTCGCAAGTATGACCCTCAAAATGAAAGAGAGAGAAAGAGAGAGAGAGAGAGAGAGAGAGAGTGAGAAAGAGAGAGAAAGAGAAAGAGAGAGAACGTGCCCCACGGCGTAAAAATTGAAATATTTTACGATCGCTACGCTCGCACCTTCAAATCAGATGACAAATCGGACCGTAACGCGTAATGCCGCGTAAAGAAAAAAAAAAGTGAAAGAAAGAAGGTGAGGAAAAAGTAGCGAGAACACATCTGAGCACGCTCCCAAATTGAATTGAAATCCAAGTTGGATTTTTTATTCCTGTTGTTTAAAAATAACTCACGTCAATAACGATGCAGGGAATGTGCATTAATAGCTTAATTGATCTAGTCAAAATATATTATCATTTTATTATTCGATTGTTTTGACAAGGCATAAAGATGCTCTATAAGTTTTTTACACATACAACGATAGATTAGTTTTTTTTTAAATTTTAATACGGGATATATTTAAAAAGGGAGAATCTTTTAGTTAGCAAATGAAACAAAGAAACGCATTACAATAATAGCTATTTATTACGAGCGAACCAGTATTTCACGATAATGCGTTATATAAGCGAGTGTGCAAAATTTATGAGTTGATCGATTAAATAGACGAGATGGTTGATTTATTGCTATTAAGATTATTATTGTTTGATTATTATTGTATTATTATTATTATTATCACTATTACCAATAACTACTTGTCGCTATTACCGCAAATATTATTGCAAATATTAATATCCGACCAATGGCGATTATTATAATTATTTCGTAATGTGTAAATTGTAAAATCGGACGACTGGATCGGACGTAAAAGAGAGATAAAACTTCATGAAAATATGCGTGTAAAAAGGCGACAATTTATTCGTGAAGCTTACAACAAATTTGATTCGGTTGCGAGCGTAAGACAAACGGGAAGACAAACGATGTCACCTAGATCAAAAAAGTAATCGATATAAAACGGTAGTTGCACAAAATGCGACAGAGCGTTATTAGCATATCAGCGTGTTGAGCTTAGGGATACGCGCAGAACAATGAGACCACGCGTGATAATAATATTACCAATAGCATGTGTGCGTTTAGAGAGGAAATGAGAGAGAGAGAGAGAGAGAGAGAGAGAGAGAAAGAGAGAGAATGTAAAATTACTTGCGAGTGTTTCGAAGAAAGTGAGAGATGTTGCATCGAAAATGCGTTTCTCCAGCGTTGTTAAAAAAAAAACGCAATGTCGTCGACACTGCTATAAATTGACAGTTGCTATTATCACAGATACTGTACATTGCTATTATATCGGATTGTACCACCATGCTTTACGCAATACGGACGAATTGTATATTGCTACCGTCTCTACCAGAGATTACACTAATGCAACATATTAGCGTTAGATTATTGCTGTCTATTGCATTTTTTTCATGAAATTCATCTATGGCCTTAGAATTCAGAGTCTCATCGATCTGTAATACATGCTACGAGAAACGAGCCTAGAGAGAGAGAGAAAGAGAGAGCAAGTAAACGCGAAAGAGTACGATATTGGCAACACGACGGTACGTGAAAAATGAATCGACAGACATTCCGGCACAAGTTCGTTTATTGCTGCATGAGGGACGAATATCGCAGTGTCGATGGCAATCGGATGCCGCGAGGACGAAGTTGTAATTTTGTAGCGAAGAGAGAGAAAGAAAGAAAAAGGAGAAAGAGAGCGAAAGGAACACTTGTGTTCGACCGAAATCTCCGAAGATTCGCTGAAGCTTTCAACGGCAGAATTTTTCGTCGTCAAAAAATGACGAGAATCGCGATGTGACGTGCGTAGACATTTTACGAAGTATTAGGAGAGCGACGTGTGTTGCAAATTAACGACGAACTATTCACCGCGCGACGAAACGTCGAGAAATTCTGCCGACGCCTGTAGAATAAATAGTTATTTATAAAGTCACTCTATCGAGGGCGAGAGATAAGGTACGAGAGGATTAAGCGAGGGAACGGAGGCGCGAGGGGCGCGATGCAGGAATGTGGGAATAGCGGTGCGAACGGAAGATATGCCATTTTGAATTATTATTTTCATAAGGAACATGTAATATAAAATATAATATATATAATATATATAAATATATATATATCGATATGGACGAATTAACAGCATCATCGGGACTTATGATCGCGACGATGATGATGGTTAATATTATTATTATTGCTATTATTATGGTTATTGATTATGATTATTATGGAATGACGATTATTATTATAACGAGAAAAAGAAGCTAATGCATTATATAAAAGAAAAAAATAAAAGTAATTACACTTAACACTTACGTTAGGAAGCTAGATACATACATTTGATGCAAGCGAGAAAATGGAGTAAACCCAAACGCGTTCGACGAGGAGTCAGTAAGTGACACGAGAAAAAAAATTAACGTCGTACATTTCTATATCATGATAGAACACGGGGACGTATTTAAAGAACTAATATTTTTTAGCGAACGTCGCGGATATCTGCATTTCGTCCAAAAAAAAGCATGAGATACGAAATGGATCAAGTCTAAGATAAAAGAAAAGAAAAAAAAACGTTAAATATCATTGATCTATATAAATCTGTCCTATATATATAAATATATATATTTCTGTTGAGATGATATATTACGTTAAATCGATGGAAAAAAATGGATTCCGGGACGACGACGACGTCGCGTCGAATCTGTAAATCCATGTGTAGACGGAAGTGGGTCTCCCGACGTTTGCATTTTACGCGCCACGGACGTGTTCCCGTATTCGAAAACGTAACTTTTAAACGATTTATTTCACCGTTCATTTGTCTCTTATGTGAATGCCGAGCCGAAAGTTCTGTACGACGTACCTTATCCCACTTGAAGCTCGCATACAGAATTACATAACTAGCTATTACGGACATGGCCATTAGCAGAGAAATGTATCATTCAAGATAGTTTATCATTAAAGAAACGGTAATCATCATAGATATATTAACGACATTATTTATATTATTACGCATATTATATATAAATAATTGATAACATACTAACCCCCTCTAGGGTGAAGTATTGCGAGGGGAGGGGGTGATGGGGAATGAGAAAGGGAAGGAAAAAATTACGAAAGGGTCGCATCCACGTGGGCGCGACGGCGGCGGTGCGTCGTTTTTTTTCGGAATGTCGTCACCGATACGAAAGCGAGAGAGAAAGAGAGAGAGTGAAAAAAATGGATAATGAATAAAACCGCCAATTACTTTAACTTCGACAGTACTATTATTTGTATATGCCGAACGATTATGCCGTTTTCAGCGCAACATATTTTGGCAATTCTCTTTGGTGATATGGTTCATAGTGATCGTGTTACGGTGAGAAAGAGACAGAGTGAAAGCGTGAGAGAGCGAGAGAATGAGCGCGCGAGGGAGAGAGTGAGAGGAAGAGAAAGAGAGCGAAAGAGAGGGAGAGAAAGGGAGAGAGAGAATGTGAAATAGCGTGAATGAAGACGAAGAAAGCGGAGAGAGGGAGCGAAAGAGGAATAAAAGAATAAACCAAACGAACAAAATAAAAATCAGAAGTTTCTATACTTTTTACGGAGATTGTTATAGTCTAAGCGCACACTGATCAAGGCATTCGTCGCTCGGCAAAAAAAACATAATACAATTATTAATATAAAATTTATAACAGAAATAAAAATAAATGAAGTTAATAAATATGTACACTGTATAATAAACATTATTTCCTATTAATAATTCACGTCTCTTTATTTCAATCACCTTTCGCATCACGAAACAGAGAGGCACAATGTCGTGTTTCAGAAAATACGTACAAAATACACTCCCTATAAATTTGTTTCTTTACATATAGTTTTTAAATACAAGATATTTTCTTTAATAAATAAGTATAAACCTTATCGATATACATACATTGATTACACAATCAGTTGACTATATTTTTACTACCAGTAATTTAAGACATTAACTATAATGAATAATGTAAACTGCACACTTTCAATATAGTGATATTTCTTAATGTACAGAATATAAATAGAAAGATTTTAATTTTTCAAAAATTAAATATTCACCTATTTACTATGTAAACATAGAATTGTGCAATGATTCCAAATCCTTCTCTCTCTCTACTGCTCGTTTCTTTTCTTTCCTATACATTTCATAGTCTTCATCGTCTGTTGGCAATTCGTATCGACAGAGTGGACACGAGTTTGTCTGAAAATGCAAATTTTACAATTAGTATCAATGCAAATAATAATATATCAAAATGCATAATAAATGAAACAAACCCTTGCACATATTCCAATAATTCTGATTATAATTGATATATATTATTTTTAATAACGCCGATGCAGTCTTATATAATTTTTCAATATGTTCACTCAATCAATCCTACCTTTTCTAGCCATGGTACAATACATTCTTGATGAAATACATGCTGGCAGGGCATCAATTTTGCTTTGCTGCCTGTCTCGAATTCCTTCAGGCAAACCGGGCACTGTTTTTCGCTGGATTCAATTTTAATTTCTGGTAAATTAGCCACCGCTTCCTTCGACGCTGGCGGTGGAAGTTCCGTGTCCTGCCCGACCAAGTCCCACACGCCGAAATCCCGCAGGAACCGTGCCATTTGAATCAAGTGATTTGGCGCCTCTCCGTCACCCAGAGGCGTCCAGCCCATCTCCGAGAAATAATCGGACATGTCCTCGCAATTCCTACAGGAGCCTACTTTATGGATAAAACGGTGAAATCGATCGCGTGCAACGTTCACCTTTATCGTGATGTACGATAACTTCACTTTTTTATATTCGATACTGACGATTAAATCATTGTTTCGTGGACATCTTTTACCACACGTAGAGCTAAATCACTGTATGTATATACAACTGTGCGCAATCGTACGCCAGAATACGTGCTATCTGTCAAAAACCTCGAGTCATAGTGAAAAACTGAAAACGAGCAGTCACAGTCTAGAGCATAGAATACAAGGATATTAGAAAGCATTCGCTCAACTAAACGCCGAAGCGTTATTATTACATATATGTAATGTTACAGCTCTCCGCACACTATCGCCAGTACATCCATTTTTAAAATGGGAACGCAGCTACATCCATTTTATGATACTGTTGATAAAATCATAGCTAAGAGAACGTTGAAAATGGATATGGTTCGAGTCTGTGATACATCCACAAATTGAAGATAAAGACAATCAATCTCCGTCTGTTCTTGTCTCTCCAGACAACAGAGAGTTCAAAATTCAGTCATCAAATCTGAATTAATTTTCAGATGCAAAAAGAATTCTTTTTCTAGAAATTTAAAAAAATAATTCTTTTTTTATCTGAAAATGATACGACTAAATATGAAAAATGAAAAACTTCTATGAAAAACTTCTTTTTGAACTCTCTATACTCTCTACCCGAAAAATATTATAATTTCTTAAAAATAAAACCTTATAGGTTTTTCGATCTCTACTCCTGCACATAACAGAACACGATAAAGCTGCCGCGCGGCGAAAGTTAACAATCTACTGTTTTTCTATAAGAGCGCGCGAGACAAATAATTAGAGCTATAATAAGCTTTAATTTTATTTTACAGTTAACGTATTATGATTGACAAAAGTTGCGAATTAGATCTAATTGTAAGTTATATGAACTGTACTAAATTATACGTATTAAAATTTAAATAAATATGCTCTTTAAAAAACTTCATTTTTAAGATGGTATTAAAATTTATATACAATTAACGAAATGTTAATTGTATATAAATAAAATTGTAACAAGTAAATACTATTTTTATACAATAAATAATAGAATTTATAAGAAAACAAAAATTTTATTTAACTAAAAGATTTGCGTTGCTAAATAAAAATTTTTAATTAGTGCTGTAGCTTTAGTTGTGTGTATATATTTTTAATCTCAGACTTTATATAAGATTTAATTGGGCTAAAACGAATAGCCCGTAAAGGCCCTCCACCACCCCCGCTGATTATAATCAGCGGTCCTCTTTTATCCCAGGTAACAAGTTAATGCCGTAAATATGAATAGCAAACAAATAACATTAGCTTTCTATCTGGATGGCACGTATTTTTTTATGTTTATATACATTTATATTTTATTTTTTATGTAGTATATTTTGATATCAAAATGTACATTAAAAAATTTCAATATACAAAGTGTATAACTACAATCCACAGCTACAAAGATTGAGTATACTTAAAAATTTTCCAACTGAATATTTTTAATTTTAGATTTTATATAAGATTTTAATTGGACTAAAACGAATTAGCCCGTAAAGGCTCTCCACCACGCACGCTGATGATAATCAGCGGTTCTCTTTTGTCCAAAGTAGCAAGCTGTAAATATGATGATAAATAACGTTAGTTTGCTACTTGGATGATATGTATTTTTACGTTTATATGTATTTATATAATATATTTTGATATCAAAATGTACAATAAAAAATTTCAATATAAGTACATAACTATAACTACAGCTAGATTGAGTATATTTAAAAAGTTTCCAAACATATTCAATTTGAAAGTTTATATAAAATTTAATTGGGCTAAAACGAATTAGCCGCAGTAGAGGCCCTCCACCCCTGCTGATTTTAATCAACAGTCCTCTTTTCCCAAGTAGCAAACTGATGACAAACAACATTAGCTTGCTATCTGGGTGGCACGTACTTTTTATGTTTATATACATTTATATTTTATTTTTATGTAATGTATTTTGATATCAAAATGTACAATAAAAAATTTTAATACACAAAGTACATAATTTCACAAACTACAAAGATTGAGTATACTTAAAAATTTTTCAACTGTATATCTTTAATTTCAGATTTTAATTAGGCTGAAACGAATTAACCTGTAAAGGCCCTCCACCACCCCCGCTGATTACAATCAGCGGTCCTCTTTTGTCCAAAGTAGCAAACTATGTATATACCGTCAATATGATGACAAATAACATTAGCTTGCTACTTGTGTTATGTATTTACGTTTATATGTATTTAAATAATGTATTTTGATATCAAAATGTACAATAAAAAGTTTCAATATACAAAGTACCTACATAACTATAATTACAGCTAGATCGAGTA